AATCCTCACAACTACATGGTAGAAATTATTTCTCCATCAAGGACTCCTCTGAGATAAGAGCTCTTTCCTGAGTCCATCAATTTCCTTAATATGGTGTTATGTTTTGTTTCGTTTTGAAACTCTGGTAAATCATCAGAATTACATGGGAGCTTTTAAAAAATAACTGGGCCCACTCCCAAAGATTGTGCTAGAACTGCACTGTGAGGAAAGAAGTAAGTAGTGGCATTTTTATGACCTCCCTAGATAATTTTAATATGCAGCAGCCACATTTTTTCCTGTTTTTCTCTCTTCTTTCTCTCGTCTCCTCTCCTATCTCTCCCCTCCACCCTTCTGTGTTAATTTTATTTTCTTGAAAAATGAAAGGAATAGCTCAAAGAGCTGTTCAAAAATGCCATCAACTGCACTGTTCATCATTATTTAATGTACCACTAAGAAAGACAAAATACTAGCATTAAACTTTGACAAGCCAATGATTTTAAGACATACCTCAATTTCAGAAATGTTAAAAGTGAAAAATGTTAATATGAGACTTCTCCATCTCTAATCTATAATTACTCTACTCCACATATGTTCCCTTGAGTTGCCATCTACTATTCTCTCCCTTCAGGACCCTTCTCTCTTCTGCACCATCTCATCACTAAAGACAGAAAGGAACAGTGGAGGGGCAGAGCATTTGGGAGCAGAGACCCTCTTTGTTCACAGATTTCATAACAATTCTACCTTTACATGAGTTTTAAAAATCATGTCATTCATTTATAGGTCATAGGTATATTAACGTAAATAAAATATTTTCTTCCCAAAGAGAGAATAAAATTCCATTTTGGAAAATAGTACTAAAAAAATGAATTCTATACAATGTTATAATTTCAGTGTTAGTTGATTTGATGGCTCAATGAAGTGCTTTTGCTCATCTGGTTACAATAAAATTTTCAGGTCAATAATAATGTATATGGCTACACTTCAAAATAAAAGCTTCACTTAAAAAAGCATAAAATATGCCTTCTGCTTAGAAAATTATAAAACATAGGCTTTTCCTGAAAGATTAATCTTCCAAGGTATACTCAAAATATGGATTAATATGATTTAATAAATTGTTGTCAAGATTACTTCTGCAGTTAAAAGCAAAGAAATGTGGAATGGAATTTTACCTGAACTTCTTGGCTAGTCTATCATTTTTATTTGCACTTTTTTGATACACAGTACTGTTTTCTTTCCTCAAATGAGGCTAAAAAATTCACCAATGTAGCCAAGTTTCCTGGGCTTCTATGAAGACTTGATTCAACACTGCAAAACACTTATATGTGTACTCACTTGACTGGAATGACACATTCACATGATCTTTTGGTCAGAGGTTGTGTCCAATGAGTCCTAGGAAGGTTCAAGCATTCTTGCATAGTTCCTGAGATGCTGTGGTCAGTTATATAAGGTGGCTGACATTGTATTTGTCTTAATGTGATTCCAGTCCCAGAAAATATTAATGCAGATGAACTTTATATTACAAAATGAAACTAAGTATTGACAAATAGAAATAGATTAGTTTTGAAAAATCCTCAATTCTTGAATTGTTAATATATAATACAGTGTCATTTATTTTTTAGCACACAAAGAGGCTAACAAAATATTCGCAGAAATTATCACCTTGTTTCTCACATCTAATGCCTTTAACAGGAGGCTATGAAGAAACAAGCCACATTTCAAAAAGAAAAAGAAACTCATAGGAAGGTCAAAGCACAAGTCAACAAACTGGAAAAATGTGGGGAAGTCCTAGACAGAAACATAATGCCAGATTTAAGTAGAAACTGATAACTGCTTCTCTAGCTATAGGTAGTTTTATTCTTTCTATGTAAGAGGAACCAATCCTTTCAAAAGACAGGCATACAAGATGCAGGTGACAAAACCAAAAAGATTTGGTAGAGGTGTTCTTATCAAAGGCAGCTCCTAGGACATGCCTTTTCCTTGAAAAGCAGTGGCTGAGTGCAGAGGAGTGATCTGTTCAGTCTAAGGGAACTGTCTAACCAAAAGACACATCTTCCTGATAAGGTTCTACTTCCTTCCATAGCACAGGAATATTTCTGGAATAAAAATGGAGGAAGTACATTATTATGATGATGTCCTGTATCAATAATGATGATGGCAAGAACCTTGTTTCCCCATTAGAAGTTGGCAGGAAAGATGGGAATTATTTTCATTATCCTGGAATAAACTGTGCCTAATGCAGACAGTAAGAGATGTTATCTCATAGTGGAGAGTTTTGCTGGAATTTGGTGAGGCATTTGGCCCAATTGACTTCAGGAGAGGCTTATCATACCAAGGGTTTCTTTAAATTGTCAAAGTGGCTAAAGGGCCATTTTGTGTACCATTACAGTTGTCTAAATTAGAAGCATCTAACTCTTATAAAGAACTAAGGTTCTATCTTTCAAAATTTTGTATCTTTCCGCCTGCAAAGGCAGATGAAATCCTTAAATCTTGTTATCAAATGCACCTAGGCATGCTAACCTTTGAAGTGTGGTTAAGCCTTTCTGATAAAATGATTAATTACAGTTTGTATCTGCAGCAAGGAGAGAAATATAGTCACATAAATAAAGAATGTTTCCCTTGGTGTAGGTACAGAAACACCATTTTCTAGATTTAGGGATGTGTGTGTGAACCTCCTCAACACTACCTACAATAACTATCCCCATACCAAGTGGACAGACTTACGACAGACTTACAAGTGGCCAACTTGGCCCTCTCTTAAGGAGCACATGTACAACAACAAGCAGCAATGATCAATAAATCTCTACAATGGAGGTAATGTGGATAAGCTGGGGCCTAATGGGGCAAAGACTACAGAAAAGTATCATGATTCACAGCAGCTTCTAGTGAGGCACTAAGATCAGGCTTCAGTTAACACTACTGCTGCCAAGCCACAGGTGGCAAGCAGGTTTGCAAAAGTCAAGTAGACCAGATTGAAGTGAGGAGTGAGGAAAAGTGATCAAGGGTAACAGGCACATGATGGGGTGGATCAGCATCTATCAAGGCAAGCCTGGAGAAGTGCATTAGTGACTGAAAATTTGGCAGCAGAAACCAGAAGTGAGTTCCCAAGTGTAAGGAATGATGACTGAAGAGGATCACAGTCCCATGCCCAGCAGTCCTGCCTCACCTCCTACCTCCTTGCTCCCATGGAAGCCCATCCTCTAGCAGAAAGAGTGTCAAGACTTCCCCAGAGTCTCATACCTGTCTGTAGACAGGTCAAACAGGGTATAAAGAAGCAATGCAGCATTACATAGCATATAAACACATTATTTTATTTAACATATGAGAAAATTCTAGCACCGTCTCCATCACTATACTACAGTCATGCTGTATTGATCCTAGTGTCCCATAAAATTCATAAATGAAACTGTTATATTTTTGTTAATTCTACTATTATATTATGCTACTTGTATGTAGTGACCATCTGTAATGGTAACATAAGAATCCATGCCACATTTCCAATCTGTGTCCCTCCTCCAAATCTATTAAGTATTTCTTTAAAAGTTTTATGTATACAAAATATCTGATTCTGAAACAGCAAAATCAATGCAGACATGAGACTGTCAGAATACAAGAGCAAACTCATTAAAATGCTGTTAAGACTGAGAGGAAACATTAGACTAAGTATTGGCTTTGCCATTAACAAGTTGTAAAGTCCAAGATAAAACACTAAAATTGTCTGGAATGCAATTTTAACTTTTGTAAAATGAGACAGTTGAATCTCATCATTTCTAAGCAAAAATTCAGCTCTGAAAATATGCCTCAGTTTTCAAGTCCAAATTCAATGGGCTTTTGATAATCTCAATGATACACACAGTTAAGAATATTATCTTTTATATCTGAAGGAAATCTAACACTGTTGAGAGAAAATAAAAGGTGGACATTTTTAAAGGAATCTAATACTTCTAACAACATACAGCTGAATAATTTTAAAATACCTTTAGTGCAATAGAAACATAAATCAATTTAATTTAAATTTAAAGTCTAACTCTAAAAACAATGTAATTCTTCAGAATAATTTAGTAGACAGGTAGGTCAAGGGTTCACATTTCTCACCACTGTGCCTTTAAATTTTAGAAGTTAAAGCTTCATAACATAAAATGCTTTGGAAGGCAAGTTATAGAGGAAGCGGGGGCATCACAGTCACACAGTTCTTTGACCCTTTGTGAAATAAGCCAACAAATAACAAACAAACTTGCCTGTGACATTATTCTGTAGTAGATATTCTGAATCTTCATCTTTCTCCTATTTCCCCAGCACACATGCACACATACCGCATACACACAGTGCCTTATTTTCTACAGTAGTCTTTGTTCAGCACTGAAGCAGGTTTAGGGTGAAACAAACTCATATATATTTCACAGGAAATCATAATCAAAAAAAAAAAAAAACGTGAAAGAGTACTACAATGCCTATTTTATTTTTCCTTTAAGGTTAAAAAAATAATAATAATAAATTATTTTGTTAAAATATGTTATGAAAATTTATTCCTACTTAACCAAGAACCCCAAATCAGAATCACATGCAAATCCAAACAAATTCAAGTATGATGCCACAAACAACAGGTTTAAATATTCTTACTTGGGTCTCAAAAATGATGACTACACTACTGTGAAATATGTGACTTTTTATAGAAGAGAAAATTCTATACACCTAGGCCACAGCTTAGTTTCCTACTTATGATTTACTTTTAAAATGACATTAAGGAACATTTGCTATTTATCAAAAAAAAAAAAAAAAAATGACAGCATTATTCAATATTAAGCCTGACTGGCTGAGAAATAATTTAAACATTTTGAAAATGATAGAAATTCACATTTTTGTAGAATTAAAAACATGTAACTGTTAAACTGGTAAGAGGAAAATCAATTTATTCTGAGTAATTCTTAGTACTTCAAAGAATATACATAAAAACCCTTCACAACAATTCCCTGCCCTGATACGGTTAAATGCAAATTCTCTTTTCCATCTTACTCCAGAAAGCTCCTGCATACATAGCCGACACGCCACCTACTGCAAAACCAAGCTGACAGCACAGGCGATGCTGCCAGCATTTCCATTCCATCGCCAGGCTGGGGCTGAATAAAGGCGTGTTTGTGTGGTAGTGTTTCTGTTTTAAAAGCCTCAAGCCAAGAAGAACAAGCTAAAATAGCATCTTCAGAAATGGAGCGTAAAATAATCAGAAGAGAAAAAGAAAAAGAATATGAAGGGAAACACAACAGCCTGGAAGACACTGACCAAGGAAAGAACTGCAAATCTACACTGATGACTCTCAACGTTGGTGGATATTTATACATTACTCAAAAACAGACACTGACCAAGTACCCAGACACTTTCCTTGAAGGTATAGTAAATGGGAAAATCCTTTGTCCATTTGATGCTGATGGCCATTATTTCATAGACAGGGATGGACTCCTCTTCAGGCATGTCCTAAACTTCCTACGAAATGGAGAACTTCTGTTGCCAGAAGGGTTTCGAGAAAATCAACTTCTCGCACAAGAAGCAGAATTCTTTCAGCTCAAGGGACTGGCGGAGGAAGTGAAATCCAGGTGGGAAAAAGAGCAGCTAACACCCAGAGAGACCACTTTCTTGGAAATAACAGATAACCATGATCGTTCACAAGGACTGAGGATCTTCTGTAATGCTCCTGATTTCATATCAAAAATTAAATCTCGAATTGTTCTGGTGTCTAAAAGCAGGCTGGATGGATTTCCAGAGGAGTTTTCAATATCGTCAAATATCATTCAATTTAAATACTTCATAAAGTCTGAAAATGGCACTCGACTGGTACTAAAGGAAGACAACACCTTTGTCTGTACCTTGGAAACTCTGAAGTTTGAGGCTATAATGATGGCGTTAAAGTGTGGTTTTAGACTGCTGACCAGCCTGGATTGTTCCAAAGGGTCAATTGTTCACAGCGATGCACTTCATTTTATCAAGTAATTACCTGTCTTATGAACAAAGACAACAAGCATGCAGCCAGCAAGCTTCGGAAAACCACAGCATCAAAGGCATCCCAAATAGCGTGCCCAGCTAGCTCTGTACTACAGAGCCCTGCTGCTAATCAAGTACTGTGAGCTAATGGTATGTAAATTGTATCGCTAAAGATGTTCTTCTCTGGGGTGTTCCTGCAGATTGGACTCTTCCACCTAAAATGAAAACAGTAATCTTCTATATTCTATAAATAAAGACTGAATGCTTTTTGCTATTTGTTTATTTTTCCTTAAGCTGTCTTTTAATCAGAATGTCTTGGGTACTTGCACAAAAAACAAGCATGTACATTATCTGTAGCGCATTTCAAATAAATGGTAATAAAATATTTTAAGGGGCTTTTAAGGTTTAAAATCCTTTCTACTTATGGCAGAAATTTACAAAGAAACTGAACTGGTAAATTACCACTGAAAGCAAAACAGATGTGCAGATCTACCTGGAGCAGAGCTATAGTGAAACAAAATGAGATTGTATAAAGCTGTTAAAGCTATTGATTTGATTTTTAATAGCAGGCACCAAAAGCTTATTCACAATTTCTGTATCTCACGCTGGAATTATAGCTTAATTGATAATTTGCTGAGAATTCCTAGAAAACTGCTTGATGACAATAAAAAATAATTAAAAGCACTGCTAGCTTCTTTGCTTGTATTATAATGATAAAAAAGTTACATGTGTCACTTTAAAAACAAGTAGTACACTTGATGATTTCACACATTATTATTTATGCACTGATGTAATCGACCAGAAGGCTATAGTAACCCTGGCTGGTCTTATGAGTAACAAAAATCAGCAAATTCATTTCTTTGCACACTGAGCTCCAATACAGCATGAATAATATTCTCAATGGAGTGCACGGTATTAGAATAATAAAGAAGACCATTTTCACAATCATCTAAATATGTGTTCATTTTTCAAGCTCAAAAATATTAAATGAACATCACTAAACATTATTGTCATGGAAGAACTTTATTGATTCTTTTCAATAACTATGTTGATGCTAAATCTTAGACATGAGAGTTGTGTTGATTTACCCATGCTAATTTTTAAAAACTGTTTTACATGTGGTTGCTTTAATTAGATAATCTACAATCTGAACTCTTTAAATGTGAGTGCATCCCCCTTTCCCCCACACAAAGAACAGCTAAATCATTTCTATGCACTCATTCTTTGGTTTCTAAGAACATATTATATCTTAAATTTGCTCCTTTAAAAATAAAATATTAAAATTGATAACTAAATCTTAGATTTAATGAACCTCAACAAAAGATTTCTGAAAATGTTGACTGGGGTGATACTGTTAAATTAGTATACATACCAAAATTTTGACTACTCATAAAAAGTTAGAATGAATAAAGCTAATACTTATTCACAGAACTATAAGTGATTTTCAGTTACAATATTTAGGGTAATATAAAAGTTGGCTGTGTAAAAGAAATCTTTTTAAACCTATTATCCCAAAAAGTCTTTTGAAAAATTCACACTAAAAACAACAGTAAACTCCACATCAATTACACAGTTTTTCCTTTATGTATACTGAGAGGAAAATGTTTTTGTTAAAATAGCAAATTTTCCTACTTACTTTAAATGGTTTAATCAGGACCTAAAGGAACTAAAAAAAAAAAAAAAAATAGGGAAAAATAGTAAAATCTAAGTCACTATAATTGAAATGTTTATATACTGCTCCAGTGTATGGATTTATTTTTCTTTGGCATTTTACTTCAATACACAAAAAATGGTAGTAATTTAATGTCAAAGTCAGATTTGCTCTAACAAGATTTCATTACTGATAATAAAAACAGCCCTGACTGATATATTTTACAGGAGATATGGTTGAACCATCTCCTTAGAAGTTATTACAAGTAAGATTTTGCATCAATTCACAAAAAGATAAATTAAATTTTACATAACAAAGTTAATATTTTGAGAAACCACTAAAGAAATCAGATTCATTTTTATATATAACAAGCAAACAAATCATATCTAGATGCATTTAATTTCTCCTCAAGCTTCTGATAAATCACAGTATTATAAAACAATGTAATAATTTAGAAGAAAATTTGACTAGACTGGTTATCCTTGTAACTTTTCATAAATGTACATTATTATTATTTGTGTTATTTGTATGTGTATGTGGCACTAGGAGTCGAACACAGGGCCTCATGCATGCACGAAAGCACTCTGCCACTGAGATGCATCTCCAGTTCTAAATGCACCTTCTGAAATTAAAAATTACTTGTATTTGGACTTACATATTCAAATGCCTGTGATATTGCGCTATGAATAGAAAACACCTAGGTTTTAGTGTTTTCTGAAATCATTTAGAAATATATTCTATTCAAAAAACTCAAGAAATCATACAAAATGCCGACTATAATCCAGAATGAAGCTTTTATCACATTTTGTTTGCAATCAATGAAGAATTTTTCTCAAATCTTATAAGTAAATACTGTAAAGAATAAATCACAAAGTGAATCTTTATCTGTCTTTTGTTAAAGAAAGGCAATAAAAAGGTTACTATAGTTGCCCTGAGCTAAACATATATTCTCTTGTATTTGGAATTAGCCCATGCAATGATTTTAGCACCAACTTTAAAATATGCAAAATACAAACATTCCTGATGGCTTTTACTATATTTTCAAAATGTATATGGCTAACTAACTTAAGCATTTGAAATGTAATTAATAAAAAGTAACGTCTGTTAAGTGTTTTACTATGTACAAGATACTATGCTATGAACACAATTATCTCAGTTAATCCTCAAACAACCCAAGAAAGATACTGATATTTTCTTATAAATGAAGAGAGAAAGACTAACATGCCCAAGATCATGGAACCAAGATTTAAAACTCATAGCAGTTCCAGAGCCAGCAGTAAGTATTGCCTAGTTTCTAAGGCCAATTATATTTCTAACACCTAAAACATGGCACAAAATAGGCATTCATGAAGTAGGTCTGAATAGAAAATCCCAAAATACAGAATCTCACGATGCAAGAATTCCTAAAATGTTAAGTGAAAAACTGCACTTTGGAAAAGCAAATAATATTTTTAATGTCATGTCATGTCATCTAAAGAACATGAGGTGAATCATCCATCTCACAAGACTAAAGAATATTTCAAATTTGTCTATTTGTGAATCTAGATTTTTACATATCAGGTTTGCTGAAAAGAAGGTTAACTTGTTATGACTTGTACAATCCACCGAACTAATACCTTATGAGAGAAAAGATGGTACAATGAAACTCACATAGATTCTGGAACCAGACTTGGGTTCAAATTCCACTACTTCCACTAACTTGTTTACAGGATCATAAGCAAGATCCTTAACTTTTAAATTTTCAACCTCTGCACAGCAAAAAAGGGATAATAGTAATTATTTGATAAGGCTTTTGAAAGGTTTAATTTAAATTGTGAATTTTATGTAAAGTGCTCACCCTTCACAGACTTTCAATAATAACACTGATTATTGTCTAGTGCAAAGGCACATTCACAGCCATTAAAAATAGGCATAAAAACGCACACTTCATTAATTAGGCTTTCTACTTAAACAGAGAACTTTTAACAAATGCATACTTATTTCTGTGATGAAGTACTATAAGACACAAAAATATTCTTTAAATTACTATAAGCAAACAGATTTCATTTTATTAGTTTAAAAATACATATGAGTTTCTTGGGAATTATTTTTTAGCCTCAGAAAAATCTACAACAAAATAAATATAGCTGCTGTTTTATAAGCAATTTAAAATCAATGGAAGGAATACATGGGATCATGCAATCTTAAAGATACATCCATCTAATAAATTATGATTAAATACCTTAAAATGCAATGGTGTTAGTCATAGTTAAAATTACAGCATTTGAATCATAATTAATTGTCTTGGTAGTGAAGCAGAGACGTAATATGGACTAATCATGCTAAGAAACATATATATTATCTCACTTATATATCAGTGAGAATCTTTTAAAAGTATACACTATTATTAACTATAGTCACCATGTTGTACAATAGGAAAAAATCATACATGACTGATTTATAAAACAACCAAAACTGAAACCATAATACACATGTCTAATTGTTATAATGCAGCCAAAAAACACCACATTAAGATTCAGTATATAAGATTCAGGTACTCTGAAAACTGGAAGTAGGATACATTAAAATGTCACTGTTTCCCAGATATATTTCCTTTTCTTTGTGTCCCAGTGAAAATTTAGATTATCTGAGAATCAGGCAGATTGCACTTAATGAAGGCAAGAAAAAGGTGGCTTAACTATACCTCTTGCTATTACAGAACAAAGCATTACTGTGTATACTGTAAAGTTCATTAATGATGGATATGAAGAAAATAACAAACTCATGCTTATATAAAATACGTACAGATTTAGACAATTAACACTGAAATGCTTAAGTGAAGCCAAAGGCTATCAATGCATTAAGTAAAACTGTTCCTAATCTTCATTCTGAATCAACCCAAGACCTTCCATTCAACTAAAGGTTGTAATAAAAAATTTCAAGTAGAATTACTTTTAACTCACTTTATATTTTAAACTTAACATGTACCTTATTGTAGTTTGTTTTAAGGGAGGTTCAAGGCAGTGGAAAAGGAAAGCAGTTGGAAGCTTCAAAATCAAAGTAAAAAGAGATATCAATTCTTTAATGTTAGGAATGACTAGTGAAATAAAAGAATAAAACTACTTCTAGAGAAACTAAACGTTTTCCAACAACCACCACCTATCCACCTCTTTCCTGCAAAGAAATCATGTATGCTTGTTTCTGTGTGTTAGAAAAGATCAGCCCTCTGGGAAAGTATGTGAATGAGTCAAAAATGAGAAGAAAAAGTAGAAGATACTGGGAACCTGACCCTTTAACAGAGGAGATAATAAAAACATCTGGCATTTGCTGAAGTGATACTCAGTATCAGGCACAACACTAAGTAATTATATGCTTTATCACTTTCAAAGCACCCAACACAAAACAATCTCATGAGGTCCTGGATAGAGATTGCTAGCTACTTTCCCAGTATCCATTTTTCCCTTCTTTGTTAGAAATCAAATCTAATTTAGGGTGGCAACCATAAGCAGGTTAACTTGCATTTCCCAGTGCTCTATGGCTGTTAGTAGGCTACAGCCAAGTTTATCAAAGTATGACCAATGGAATCTAAGCACAGTGAGACTTTTTAATAAGCTCTTAAGCGTTACAGTTATTGAGCTTCTTTTGCCCCTCTTGCTTCCATTTGCTGCCTGAAATGTAGATATGATGGTTATAGTTACAGAAATCATTCTGGATCACCTTACGTCACAAGCTAATGAGAGAGTTGCTGATGACCATGGAATCACCTTAGCAGACCTGGACTTCTTACTGTAGAGCTTCCTTTAAAGGGGGAAAAATATGTTTAAGTCACAGATATTTTGAGATGTCTGTCAGAGTACTATCCAGAGTTGTCTGCTAACAGGTGGATAGTATTAGAACCCTGATTTTACAGATGAGGAAACAGAGACCCACACAGTTAGGCAACTTGCCCACAATCACACAGCTAACAACCTTCAAGTGCCAAGCCCTTAACCACTGAGTGATACTGTCTTCAGACTGGACTGAAAGAACTCAGTGAAAAACTCAATAGAGGACAGGAGGTTTGACAAAGGGCAAGATAATGCTGAAAGAATATTAGTACCTCTACACTTTAGAGTAGGACAAGACCTAGCTTAAAATGGTTGGAAGCAGCCCACAGTTAACCAAAAGGATATTCAGCCTAAAGGGTGAGTATACTGCAAGAAAAGACTGGGGCAGAAAATGGTGGGGCTATAATCAAAGAAGTGAGAGGTGGTGATTGGTAGGTCAGGGATAAGAACTCTAAACAGGGAAGAGACCTACATGAACTGGGCAG